GCTTTAAACTCAATGCCCATCCGCCAAATGGGTCGGGAACTGGAAATGGATCCACTTCCACCCGAGGAAAGTTGGGCCCTGGGAAGAAAAATGAAGAGAGAACCCTGAGTAACTCCACTTCTTTGAAAAACGATACTACTCTATATCAGGAGGAGGATATTCATTCTTCCAATGCTAACGACAAGAATGCGTCAGAAGGAAATGGTGGAAGAAATTCAAGCGAGAGAATTCAAATTACCAACAACTCTCAACCGATGGGCGCATCAAATGACAGCTTCGATGAGAAATGTGATATCTTTGATGGTAGATGGGTGAGGGACGATTCGAAGCCATATTATCCTCCAGGTTCTTGCCCTTACATTGATAGAGACTTTGACTGTCATCTTAATAGGAGGCCAGATGAAGGATATGTCAAATGGAGATGGCAGCCAAATGGGTGCAACATTCCAAGGTATTTCTTTAATCGAATCCCCTGGCCCTGGCCCTGGCCCTGGACCTTCAATTACTTTCATGAATATGCTTGCTCTTCTTGATGTTCTGCTGATTAGAACGATCCATTGTCTGGTGAATGAATGAATGAAAAATTAGGAGGATTCTCCTTTACGATGCTTCTCCTCAGCAATACATTTGAGTTTATAAACCTCTTTCCTAATATCCCTTTTGGACTCTGGTGCTTTCAGTCTGAACGCAACACATTTTCTAGAATTATTGAGGGGAAGAAATCTGGTGTTTGTTGGGGACTCATTGAATAGGAACATGTGGGAGTCTCTGGTGTGCATTCTTCGTCATAGTATTGCCGACAAGGAAAGAGTGTATGAGATATCTGGAAGGACAGACTTCAAGAAGAAGGGCTTCTACGCCTTCCGGTTTGAGGCAAGTTTCAAACCATGTTTCTTCAGTTTGTGATGTTTTCGACTCATCTTTCTTTTGTTTTGTTGTATGTGCAGGACTTTAATTGTTCCGTGGATTTTGTTAGTTCTCCATTCCTTGTTAGGGAATCTACATTCGAGAGAGACAACGAAACGATGGAGACATTAAGATTGGATGAAATGGATGAGACGACCGAAATGTACCGTGATGCGGACGTTCTAGTGTTTAATACAGGCCATTGGTGGACTCATGAGAAAACCTCTAGGGGGTACGTATTGTAGGGATCATCATCTTGGCTGGATCCAAGGTTTTGAGGGTTTTGTGGTGAAGTGTTGTGTTTCCCTCCTGTTTTGCAGGGAAAACTATTACCAAGAAGGCAACCATTTGCACCCGAGACTGAAGGTGTTGGAAGCGTTTAAGAGGGCTCTCACCACTTGGGGTCAATGGATAGACAACAACGTTGATGGAAATCGAACTCTGGTTTTCTTCAGAGGGTATTCATATTCGCACTTCAGGTATGTATCAAAGAATTGGAGGTGTGTGTTTGAAAATGTGTGTTTGAAAAATGTGTGTGTTGGCAGTGGTGGGCAGTGGAACTCGGGAGGACAATGCGACAATGAAACGGAGCCGATATATGAGGAAGCATACTTGGGGAAGTACCCAAAGAAAATGAGGGCTCTGGAGTATGTGATGGGGGAGATGAAAACGCGGACGTCCTACTTAAACATCACCAGGATGACTCATTATCGGAAGGATGCGCACCCTTCCATTTATAGAATGGAATACAAGACGGAGGAAGAAAGACGTGCGAGTGTGGGGGTTCAAGATTGCAGCCATTGGTGCTTGCCCGGGGTACCCGACACATGGAACGAGCTGCTTTATGTGTCTCTCATAAGGATGGCCAGCAAAGTTTGGAGAGACTAACCTCCAACATTTGCAGATCACCACCGTTTCCTTTTCTTTTTTTGTTTCCCATCCATTCTTTTGGTCATTCGTGTATTTTTGTTGGGTTTTGGGGTAAAGGTGTATGTATCAAATGGTTGTTTAATGGTTTTAGGTTGGTTCTGAGCAACATGATCATGCCTGCCTGCCTGCCTGCCTGCCTGCCTGTCCATGTTGAGGAAATTACAGGCTGCTGACTCATAGATTGCCGTGCAAATGTAGAGGAACAAGCATCGTACTTGTAATTCTATAATAGAACTTCAAATATTTCTTTCTAATTTTCGAAAATAATTTAGGAAAATCATGCCAGGTAAGTAGTTGTTGAATCACAGCACTTCATAAATGTAACTCAACTCCCATAAACTAGGAAGCATCACTTAATTTAGAGATTACATAAATAAAAAGAATTATGCATTTATTATTATTTTTGCACATAGAATTAAATCTTTTGAAAGTAAAACTGAAAAAGAAAAAAAGAGAAGAATTACCCATTTGGCTCATTTTTTTTAATTTTTTTTATTTTACCCAGAAACAAACATCGCCCACTGCTTCCTCTTCTTCTCTCTACAGATCATTTATTTATATACTTTTGATGGCGGCGGAGGATATGTACGGCATGCGCCCCACTACTCCCGATTTCTCCTCTTCCTCCTTGGTTTCACCGGACAACCTTATCCTTCCCCTCCACTTTCAGAGCTCGGTTTCGTCCACAAACTTCCCTATGTTGGGATCCCATGAATTAGTTTCCGAACCCGAACCACCTTCCATCCCTCCACATTTTTCCATCAGCGTCATCAAGGCCAAAGTTGTGTCTCACCCTACATATCCTCGCTTATATTGACTGCCACAAGGTGATCCAACCACTCCTTTTCCTCAACCAATCCAATTTCTTCTCTCGGCTTTGGGTTTTGAAATTAATTTGTTTTGGGGTCAGGTTGGAGCTCCTCCGGAGGCACCCAGCTTGCTGGAGGAACTCGGGCAAGAAAAGGAGAGTCGTAAACAAAACGCAATGTCCACGTGCTTCGGGGGCGATCCGGAGCTGGACGAGTTCATGGTAATTGTGGTCCCTCCTCTCATTCAATTTGGGCATGCTTTGCGTTGTATTCATTCAATTCATTATCTGTGTCCGGATAGGAAGCGTACTGCGACATGCTGGTCCAGTATAAATCACACCTCTCAACCCATTTTAATGAAGCCTCCTCCTTCTTCAATACCATTCTGCTCCAGCTTACCAACCTCTGTGCTGCTGCCATATCCTACGGTATCATGTCCACCACAAAATTAAGCTACTTACCGCTTACTTTTGTGAACCATGTTTTTTGTTTGTGAACAATCCTCCCAGGAAGCCGATAAGATTGCGCTGGCAGAGGCAACGGGACTACACCCCAACCAAGTTAACAATTGGTTTATTAATCAACGAAAGCGGCACTGGAAACCTTCTCAAATTATGGGTACCTTCTCGCATTCTGGATAATCATGTGCCTCAACAATCTTACGCTGCGCTGGAGTGCTGAGAATGAGGTCCAATTGCCTTTCATATCACTCCCTCTCCTAAGCCAATATAGTTTAGCATATATCTCCATTGCATTTCTCTCTCTTCTATATTTCTTATTCCATCAACCTTGATTATGGGAGTGTTAATCAAACTTCTACACCTTTCTTGTGTGTTTAATCAAAATCATATTCGTTGGGAAGCTCTCCGGTAGAAGAAGAAAACATAGATGAACCGATGTCACATTTGAATAAAGTAGGTAGATAGTGTGGTGGTCGTATAACAAGATATATACAAAATGCCCATTCTAAATTTTAAATCTTGGTTTCAATACTAGGAATGAGATTCCATCTGGTTTGGTAACGCCTTCTTTTCTATCAACACCCCACCATGATTGATCCATGTATTATCGAAGCGGTTTAGAGAACCCAACTTGCTTAGTGCCACAAACATACTATGAAGAGAGAAGGATGTGACTCTCCCATCGAGAGAAGCAAAGCGGCGATCCTCAATAGGCACTCATCCAACCACGTGTGGGCCAATATAAAAGAGTGTCATTATGCGACCGAAGAGGACAGTGCGTCATCCAATACACCAGACATAACCAAGATAGAGACAATGAGTAGATATAAATCACATATGAGCTTGTTGAAGGGTTGGGTAGAGTCTCAAGCCTTAACCTCGAAAGTCGAGGTTCAAAAGGGATTTGGGCATGTGATTTTGGAGCTAAGTCCATCCATATGAAATATGAATGCTCGCCAAATTTGGTGTCAATCAGACATCGAACAGACACTCCACAACACCGTATAACTATTCGCTAAAATCACGTCTACTCTAAGAGAATTGGAAATGTCTCAAAATGTTCTATATGGGAGACATGGTGTCAACTCTCCACCACCCCCAAATCCTGTGGCCTAAGCGAGCTACCCTGTGGCATATGCGTGTGTCATAGTGAGGGCAAACGTGGCGTGACGAGTATCTCGAGCGACTTCCTTTGAAAGGAATTTTTCAAGGACAGTATCGGGCGGCACGGGTGTGTCGGTATTGCACCTCAGCCCGCATGTCGAAGGTTGAATTATACACTCGTTATCTGGTAAGGTATCCATAAATGACATGACATGGGCACGGAGGGCCAATGCCTTAATAGAACCTGGATGGATGGATGTTTGGGATGTCTCGATAAAATGAGCGACAGATGGGCCCATTCTCGATGACATGGTCGATAGAGTTATGATGGTCAACGATACCCCGAGACTTGGGATGGCGTCAAGATATATGATTCATGTCGATTGGAAACCAAGTTGATAAGATGAGATGCGGTGGTGCATTGAGAGACTCTAGCCTCGAGGCAAGGTCGAGTCGAATGACTTAGTCTAGTGTAGAGGCAATTTAGTTGTGTCGTAGACGATTAAACATGCACGCACAGGCGGTATGTATGGTTGAACAAGCTTGGATCTCGCACAAGCGATGTTCGGTTGGCGAAGACAAACCTCACCTAGGAATCGATGAAGCTACAAAGCAGGGGCAAAAAATATAGATAGCGCTTGATTCTCCTTATGACTGGTCGTGTGTCAAGATCACGACGCCTCAAGTAAGACCGTGACAAATAGCATCGAAAGCTTATTGAAGGCAAAAAGCCCTTTTGGTTGATTCAAGACGTTCACCACTAAATCCACTGTTTTCTTATTTGGCGATTAGTTTTCTTGATGTAACGCAAAAAAAGGATATCTTCTTTTAATAATTTAAGTATATATTCATTCAATAATTTATAAATTATTTTAGAGGGCCACATAAACAGAGGCTCGGCCAAGGCACTTGAGAACCGCCATTTATTCCCTCTTTTTAATTATTTTTCTACTTGTTGGTAAACGTGAACTGGATAAGTTGGATTCGGGTGGGCAGATGGCATATGCAGCCAACTCAAATCTGCTGCCATATAATTCTCCGGCCATCTGCAATCGCATGGCTTCCTCCCTTCCGCTCCAACTCCGTCTTCCTCTTCCAACCAATCCGCCTTTTCTGCGTCACCGCCCGATTCAATGCGCTGCCGACCGCCAGGCATTGTTCAACCGTATTGCGCCTGTCTATGATAACGTCCGCTTACTTTTTTTTTTTTTTTTCCTTCCCCACTCCATGCCTTCCTATTTACTTTTCCCCTCTTGAACCTTTACTCTTCTTTGTGCTTCGAATTTAGTTGAATGACTTACTCAGTTTGGGTCAGCATCGTATTTGGAAACGAATGGCCGTCTCGTGGAGCGGGTATGCAATGTTCTCGTTTTCTGATGCGGAATTACCTTATCTCTTCTTCTTCTCTTCTTTTGAGCTTTCGAACATTTGGGAACAGTGCAAAGGCAGGAGACTGCGTGTTGGATATATGCTGTGGAAGCGGAGATTTGGCGTTCCTCGTATCTGAGAGAGTTGGATACGATGGCAAAGTAACCCGACGGCAACACCCCAGTTGGATTATGTGCCTATTTTGATGACCATAGATATCTGATCATCAAATTCTTTGGTGTTAATTCGCAGGTGACGGGTCTTGATTTCTCACAAGAGCAGCTAAGTATTGCTTCTTCCCGTCAAAATTCGCTCTCCAAACCCTGCTATAACAACATTGAGTAAGCATTAGTGAACTTGAACAATAAATATGATAGCCTGTACTCCACTCAGTGTTTGTCTTATACAAATCGAACTATGACCATTGGGTGTTGCTGCAGTAAGAATTACAATTTTTGCCTTTTGTAATTGCTTTTGGAATTATCAACCTGATACCGCTGCTGCCAAAATGAAGGTGGGTGGAAGGTGATGCACTTAATCTGCCATTCTCTGACGGCACTTTCGACGCCATTACAATGGGCTATGGTCTGCGGAATGTGGTGGATAAACGGAAAGCTTTGGAGGAGATGCTTAGAGTACTGAAACAAGGTCATTTGCTGTATATTTTCTGTTCTTGGAGTGTGGATTTATCACTGTGATTCAACTCCAACGAATGATCTCTCTTAATTCCTTCTTGGATTCTTGGATTCTTGGATTCTTGGATTGTGGATTTGCATACATGTTTCTTGATTGAGAAATCAATTGGTCTTTCCAGGTAGTAAGATATCAATTCTCGACTTTAACAAGACTACACAACCGATTACTGCTGCCATTCAGGTACTTTTATGTAAAGGCTCGGTTTTTGCTGTGTGGTGCACACTGCACACTTCAAATTTAGTGAGTCTCTACTCGTTATGCTTGGTTCATATGAACTTCCTCTATGCAAGGAATGGATGATCAACAACATTGTAGTCCCAGTGGCATCTGGTTACGGCCTTGCTGAGGATTATAAATATCTGTCTAAATCCATCAATGAATTTTCAACAGGCAGGCTCTCTCTCTCTCTCTCGATTGACCGGACAACCGCTTTTATTAGTTGTTCCGTAAACAAAAGCCTCCACTATTTTTTTTTTCTTAATATAATTATGTATTTTGGATCTTCCTTCAGTGTTACTCGCTGACTAAACTCGTTTTTATACAGGAAAGGAATTGGAAGAACTTGCTTTAGAAGTTGGGTTTTCTACCTCTAGACATTATGAAATTAGTGGAGGTCTCATGGGAAATTTAGTGGCATCACGTTGATTGTTATTAATGTTTTGTCATAGTTCATTTTTCTTGATCTTAGTTCAAATTTCTTGAACTGAGCTCTTTGTGACTTGTGAGAATATGGTGTGTGGCTTCACGTCTTTTATGCATCAAGTTCTGTGACATTTTCATTGGAGCTCTGTTTCATGCAAGTTTAAGCAACAAAAAGTATATAATTGCAATAGATGCCCCATATTTGGTTTCTAATCAATGTATAAGGTTCTGCCGGCAACTTGTCAATGCAATTGAGTTTTCAGTGTATGCATGCATATACGAGGAATGTAATAAGTTGTAGGCCTCATAACGAAATCATTTAAATTCTAATACTTTTATCACTGTAGTATTATTAAGGACATCATAACTCTACCATGTTCCTGATTTGATACAATGAAGATTTTGAATTATACACTTTCGGTAGAGTACAAAGCCTATTTTTACCACTCTTGGTAATAATGAACATTGAAGCTTGATCAAGTTGATGTATACATAATGGAGTTTTGAGAAGCTAATGTCTTGAAGCCAAAATCAAATCGTGTGTTAATATTCTGCTCAACTGGCCTTTTGGAACATTTGGTCTTTATGGTGCATAAGAGACACCATTACACGAGGAATGCAAGCCAGTTCCCATTCTTGGGGATCTTTTTGTGTTGGGGGCATTTGGGTGAGAAAGGTGGAAGGGTTCCTGAGCTCATGGTGGTTATCTTGGATGAAAAGAACTATGGCTGACTGTGGCAGTTGAATAAGAGCCCTCTGTAATAGAACAATATTGCGAGTCCTTGCATGAGCCATCAAGTTCCATGGTCATCTCATCCATGAAAGGCGGTTTGGTGGGTGGAGGAAGGTGCTCTTCCTCCTCCATGGTCAGCATTCGTAGTACCTTTGACATTGTTGGTCGAAGAGATGGAACCTCCTGAATGCATAAGAGCCCTATGTGCACCACTCTCAATACCTCGTCCTTTACTTTTTTGTTGTAGTGATTCCGAAGATTTAGATTTGAATCAAATAGCCTCTCAACCGTGCCTGCTTGGAAATGTCTCCACATCTATTTTACCATGTGGCAGCGCAAGAGAGATGCCATATTTTTGTTAGTAGAATTTGACATTCAAGGAAGGATATGAAAAGGTTTCATAGAACTTACAGCAGTGACAAGACTTTCGATATTTCCCGAGACTTGGATGCCACTGTATTGGAATCCTGTAACTATTTCTAACAAAAGCACCCCAAAGCTATAGACGTCGACCTTTTCTGTTAGCTGACCATAAGCTAGATACTCCGGAGCCATATATCCTCTGTTAGATACACAAGAAAGGAAGGGGAATGTTAATGGCACTACAAATCTTCTCTTAGCTTTCAGATAATGAACGATGTGTTCAAATTAACAGGAGGGAATGTTATTTATGAGAAAACATACAGAGTTCCTGCAATGGCGGTGCTAATATGACTCTTGTTCTCTTGGAAAGACCTTGCTAATCCAAAATCTGCTATTTTTGCTTGAAGCTTTAGATCGAGCAAAATATTACTCGCCTTTATATCCCTGTGTATGATTTTGTTCTCTGGATTTTCATGTAGATATATTAAACCTTCAACCGTGCCAATGATGATGTTATATCTCTTATCCCAATCAAGAGCTTTGCTGTTATTGGCACCTGTGTAAATTTTTTAGCAGCATGTTAAGGGGAGATCTTTGAATTGCTGAAATCATAAGTATTTTGAGCGCTGCAGTATCTACCAAAAATGAAGCGATCGAGACTCTTGTTTGGCAGGAATTCATAAACAAGTAGGCTTTCAGGTCCAGAACAACTGCATCCAAGCAACCTAACCAGATTTTTATGTTCGACACTGCTGATCATGTTGACTTCATTGAAGAAATCTGCTGCTCTATGTCTGTTATCAAAGAAGAATCTCTTGACAGCAATCTCTCTTCCATCAGGTAGAGTTCCCTGCGATGCATGGGAATGAATAGTAAATGATGTGTTGTTAGTCATAATTGGAGATTGCAGGGCCTGTCAAGATGGAGAGGAAGAAGAACTACCCTATAAACAGAGCCAAACCCCCCTTGTCCAATCTTGTTATCGAGGCTGAAATTGTTGGTAGCTTTTTCAAGGGTTGAGTACTTGAAGTTCAAATTACTATCTTGAAGAGTTTTCGCCAACTTCTTCACATCAGCTGAACCTCCTAACGTGTCAAACATAGCATTCGAAGAAAAAGAATGTCAATTAATCTCCCCAAGGAGTGGTCACCACGATGAAACCTTCAGACTTCATATTTTACCTTTCCTTTTATTTTGAATGTATCTGCGCCGCCAGATAAAAGTACCGATCACCGCTACGATTATCATAACAACAACAGAACTCAAAATTGAAATGATGACCCCCGCAGTTATTGTCCCACCTACAGACAAAGCAGGTTGCAATTTATCAGGCAATTTTGAGAAAGGCTGTGTTTGAGTATATCTTTGATGTCCTTATTGGGAAAGGATCAGTTTTACCTTTGGAACTATCTTTGATGTCCTTATTGAGAAAGTCTGTGTTTGAGTATCTCATGAAGCAGCCTGTGTACAATGCTCGCCCTTCCAATCGAGGTAAACACTGCTGCAGCATCGAGGCAGAAGCAATTTTCAAACACGAGCTGCAAGAGCTGTGGCTCAAACTTCTCCAGCACTGACCCAGAGCATACACGGCAGACTCCTTCGCCATCCCGGCCACAGCCACTTGAGCTTTTGCAAAGCCTTTGTTGCTTGGTGCACCGTTGACCACTTGCATCACCGCATCCCTGGCTGCTTGTCTATAGTTGGGGTCATTTTGGGTAAGGTTCCCGCAAACTGCAGTGTCTTCGGGTCCTTTGTATTCGTCAAAAAAGCTATAGTTTTCGAATCTCAAGAAGCAGCCATCGATGAATGCACGGCCACCGTTGAAAGGGAAGCACTGGGGAATCACCGTACGTGCTTGAGAATGACACAGCACACATTCGTGGGATGAGAGATCTTCATGGCATTGGGCAAGCCCATAGCTGGCATCAGGTCCCATTCCTGTACCCGCCGTTCCAAATCCCGAAGTTGTGATTTGTTGTCTTACTTTTTCCATTGAACCAAAAAAATTTGGAACGTACGCCGTGGTGTTGTGCTCTAGTTCTTTCCCGCAAATCACTTTCACAGTTTGATCTCTTGGCTTTCCCACAGCCGAAGTTAGGTGTAGCAGAAGAATAGCGAGGACTGAAAATAGGACATATTTGCAAGCAGAAACAAGGTGGATCGCCATTGAATCTGGGGTTCCGTTTGTCTGCTTGATTCTGAATAAGGAGGCTGCTGCCGCCGCCGACGACGAAGAAGGTCGGGAAGCTGCGGAATGGGTGACAGCTTGCGCGAAAGGGGGCTACGAAATATACAAGTTAAAATATATCTGTTGAAAATGAGAAGCGATGTAACAGGAGTGGATGATAGTAATTGACAAGAAGTCAAGGTCCGGAAGGAGGAGGAGGAGGAGAAGGAGGAGAAGGAGAAAGCGAGTGTGGCGTTTTCCGTTTAAAATAGACCGAGTTGCTGACCGTGTCTATTTTAACATCTTCTGTTCAGTCAGCCTTAGAAAATTCAACAACGGCGGCTTCCTCCGTTTCTTCTCCCGCAAACAATTATCTTGTTGACGGTTGATGATTTTTAGTTCCCTCCACAAAAATCTGATCTTTCATTGTTACGAGTCGTCGAGAATGGTTCAAAGAAATGTGTCCCCTCCCCTGTCTGTGGCTCACTTTGCATTGCCGTCGAGAAAAGGCAAAATATTGAAGCCAGAAGTCTGGGGATGTTCTAGAATATGAAAAGAAGTCATTTGCTACCTTAATTTGGGTACCACCGAGATGGGTGAGGAGGGATTGGATTGTAATTGTAGGACTGAATACTTTCAGTCTGATAATTGGATTATACGCAGTATTAGTGTACACAAATATAGCAAACCCCACTTCCTCCTTCACCACGTCTACACATTTCTTCATGAACCGAGCTCTAATTCCTTTCCAGTTTTTACAATTACAATTACAACTACAACTACAACTACAATTACCATTACAATTACAACTACCTGGGATGAAATGAACTATGGGTGACGCTAGCAGCCGTGGAAGAAGCTTCCGTGACGTTGTAGTGGGATGGGGCGTCGCTGGTGTCGTTCAGTTCCATTGTCCTCTCGTCCATGAAAGGTGGGTTGGTCGGCGCTGGAAGTTTGTCTTCCTTCTTCATCAGCATCTGCAGTACCTTTGACATTGTGGGTCGCAGTGATGCAGTCTCCTGAGTGCACAGAAGTCCTATGTGCACCACTCTCAACATCTCCTCTTTTATGCTCCCACCTCCCTCCTTCTCATCAACCATCAGGTTCGGGTCGTATATCCCTTCCACTGTTCCCGATTCAAAATGCTTCCATGTCTGTTTCCCCACATCAATCATATTTATCACTCTCCTTTCTTTCTTTGTAATATACAACTACCATGAAACAACGAACAGAAGAAGAGCTACTTACAATGAGTACTATGCTTTCCAAGTAGTCCGAGGTTTTGCTCCTACTGTTTTGAATCCCAGTGATGGTCTCCAGCAAAACCACCCCAAAACTGTAGACATCAGCCTTTTCTGTTAGCTGGCCATGAGCCAAGTACTCTGGCGCCATATACCCCCTGTGGATTCCCGAACAGTAGAAGCAACAACCAATGTTAAATCACTTTTGTTTTGTGTTGTTTTATTTGATACTTATTCCTTGTTCTTCAAGAGAAATTACGTACAAGGTTCCGGCAATGGCAGTGCTGATGTGGCTCACATCTTCTTCAAAGGATCTAGCCAATCCAAAATCAGCAATTTTAGCTCGAAACTTTGAGTCAAGCAAGATGTTACTAGCCTTGATGTCTCGGTGAATGATCTTGGTTTTCGAGTTCTCGTGCAGGTAAGCCAAACCTTCAACTGTTCCCACGATAATATCGAATCTCTTCTCCCAATTGAGTGATCTGCCTCTGTCTCGATCTGTAAGGTTTTGAAACCAATCAGAAGAGGTGTTTATAAATAAGGGTTCAAGTGGATGCTTAATGAAATGAACATTTCAACGTATACCAAAAATGAAGCGGTCGAGACTCTTGTTGGGAAGGAATTCATAGACGAGCAGACTTTCAGGTCCAGAACAACTACAGCCAAGCAACCTTACTAAATTTTTGTGCTCCACACTACTAATTATGTTAACTTCATTGTAGAAGTCTGCTGCTCTATGTTTGTTATTGAAGAAAAGCCTCTTCACAGCTATCTCTCTTCCGTCCGACAGAACTCCCTGTATCAACGTATACAGAAGAGGAAGGAAGGGATGATGAAATCTCAGTGTTTGAGCTTATTAAGCTAATTGCATGTTTGAAGGTTACAATAAGAAGAAGACTGGCCTTATAAACAGTGCCAAATCCTCCTTGTCCAAGCATGTTAGCCTCAGCAAAACATTCTGTTGCCTTTTCAAGGGTAGAGTACTTGAAATTCAAGCTGCTATTGTTGAGTGTTTTCATCATCTTGTTTGCATCATTTGAACCTTTCAATACATATGGCAATCAAGTGAACATCAAGTAGAAAAGAAGAACTTATTTTCAACAAGTAGAAAAGCGGTGTTTTAAATATACCTTTTCGTTTCATCTTTACATATCTGTTATTCCAGATGTAGATTCCAATCACCACACCAGCGACCAAAACAGCAATCGTGCTTACCACTGAGATTACAATTGCTATAATGTTGCCTGCAGAGATCGTCCGTAGTAAATTCAAGTAAGAAGCTAGTAGTGGTGGCGTATAATACAACACCAATTTTCATTCATACCTCTGGACCTTGCAGCTCGAGCTTCCCTATTTAGGAAGTCAACGCTAGAGTATCTGATGAAGCAGCCAGTGTTGAGGGCCCTTGCTTCGGACTGAGGCAAGCATTTGAGGACAGAAGCAGAGGCGTTTTGCAAACAGGAAGTGCAGGAGCTGCGTTTCAAATTCTTCCAGCACTGAGCCAACAGGTAGACCGAGAGATTGGAGGTTCCAGGGACAGGCACTTCAACTCTGGCATACCCTCCATTGTTGGGTGCAATGTCAACTGCTCGGCCCACAGCCTGCCTGGCCGACTGCCCAAAAAGGGAGTTGCTAGTAATGGAGGTGTTGCCGCACACAGCCCTGTCCAGAGGCCCCTTATATTCGTTATAAAAGCTGTAGTTCTCAGCCCTCATGAAGCAGCCATCCAGGAAAATTCGGCCACCATTGGAAGGAAAACACTGAGGCAGGACAGTACGGGCTTCGGCATAACATAACACACAATCCATCGGCGACAAATCTCCGTAACATTGAGCGAGGCCGTAGTTGGCGTCCGGCCCCTTCCCTGCCAGTGCCACTCCAAAACCACCAGTTCGCATTTGATCGCTGATTATTTGCATGGTGGCAACGAAGTTTGGCACAAAAGCCGTTGTATTATGCTCTAACACGGTGGAACAAAATATGTTCACCGTTTGGGATCTGGGGTTAGCCAGTGTGGACGTGGTCTGAAGCAAGAAAAGAGCGGTGATGAAAATGATGAAGAAGCCATATGTGGGAAGCAGTGGCGATGCAGTGTTCATTGGCAGCTTCCTTCCGTGTGTGTGCTACGAATTCAAGGGATGTATATGCAGCAAGAAGAGATGAAGAGACGTGAGAATTATATAGTATATGCAGAAGGGAAGAGAAAACAAAAAACAGAAACGCCCATATTCACATCATATCATATCATGTGAGCACTTCAAAATGGAAAAGAAACCAAACATGAAGTCTACCTAATTTGTTTGGTTCCAAATATTCATATTCTCTTCTGTTCTTTATGGTATTCTGTGGAAGTCAACTCAACTCGGTTTCAAGTCAATAGATTCTCTTTTCAGAGTGGAAAAAAAATAATAAAAATAAAGGGAAGAGAAAAGAAAAGAAAAAGATTATGTGATTAAAAGGAGACGCGTTGTGATCATTGAATCAACCACTTAATTGTGGCTTCACCTCCAAGTCTTAGTGGGTTGGATCAATACTCCATAATTCCCTTCATGCTTCCTCCTCTGAAATATCGTTTTAATTAACCTTATATCTGATACTTTTTTTTTCTTTTCTTTTCTTTTCTTTTTTTATAATCAAGATTAACACAAGATTCATAGAGGGAAGAGTAATATAAACAAAAAAGAAACGATTAAAAAATTGTGCAGTTAAAAGTTGGATGCGCAGACTAATGAGAACACAGGCACTGTAATGGAATGGTGAGGCCCCAAACCCACCACTTATGGAGCATTAAAAGGAGTGATAGATAATACAAATGATGAGTAGAAAATGATGGAAATGGCGAAATTTCATAAATATAAAGAGAGAAAAAAGAAGAAGAAGGATGGGAAGTATGAGTACCAGAGATATGCAAATAGGGTGATTTCAGAGCTCCCCCAAAAACAATTATTGGATGTTACTATTTCAAACCCAATTCCACATAAACTGATACTCAAACTCCAAACAAAAAAGAACTATTTTACCTTTCAAACTCACTGGCTTTTTTAGTAAAACTATAAGAACTATTTCTATGTTATAACACTTTTTCCGCTTCAAGATATTGCAAAAATCATTCTACAATTATCCTATTGCTATTGCTATTGCTATTGCTATTGCTATTGCTACAACTATTGCTACAACTATTGCTACAACTATTGCTACAACTATTGCTACAACTATTGCTACAACTAAACCAAATCTATAACATGCACATCAAAAAATGGTTATACATAATTTTAATTAGTAAAAGCGAGAAAAAAGGAGTGTACCATACAGAAGCGGTTGGTTGGGATAGGAAGTGCATACGCAACGCATGGGATGCCAAGCAATCGCTACTCTGAAGGGTAAGACCCACGAAACCAAACTATCTGTTACAGTTTTAGACCAAACAAAACACACCAATCAAATTCAGTATATAAGACTACGTTCCTGTAATCAATGGCTCAAACCCATCTTTTCAATTCAAGGAATACCACCTCCCTGTGTCTTGGAATCCAGGCGCAGACACACACACACACACACACGCCTCGGATTGCAGGGATTGAGCAAGTCTTTTGCTTTTTAAGATTAAAAAAATAATAATAAATAAATAGTAAAAAGAATGGGTTTCCGAAGCCGTTTCTGGTGTGGTTGTTTGTTGTTGGTAGCCACGGCGGGTATGTGGCAGGGCGGGCAGGGGCAGGAGCGAGAGCTTCTAAGTCTGAATATGGGAGACCTGTGCGGAAAGGCAAACTACCCGGTTTTGTGTCGATCTATGGTGAAGGGTCTGAGTAACCCATCTGTAGCCTTAGAATCCGCCATCAGGCAGTTGATGTTGCAAACAAAAATGGCGAGGACTACAGCCAGGAGGCTGAGGAAGTCACCGGGCATGGAGGTATGCTCCGAGACTTACCAAGACGCCTTCAGCAACCTCAAGACATGCCTTTCAACCCTCAAAACCGGAGACAAACCTACCCTCAACATCAACCTCTCTGCAGCTTTGACCGACTACGTCACCTGCGACGATGCCGTGGCCGAGAGAGGCAGCACTTCTCCCGTAACCCGAACAAACCTTACACTCCGCCAAATGGCCACCAACTGTTTGTACTTGTCTAGTTTGATTGGCGTTCGCTGAAACATTTGTTTGGAATTGTGTGCGCCTTGGGTTACAGTTTTAGTTTAAGATTATTTTTATTTTATTATTATTTTTTTTTCAAATTCTAGTTTTCATTAATAAGAAAAGGTGGGGATAGAGCATGCAGAAGTGGCCTGGTTTTTCCCCTTCTGCCGTTTCTTTTCTTTTATCTCTCTCTTTTCTATCCTCTTCCCTATGCTTTTTATTCATTCATATTCGACAAAACCTACTATTCGGATGTTCCATCCATATCCAACGTTGTCCCCGAAACATAAACCTGACATACATACATATACATTACTCATTTGGGACAATTCTGACAGCAACTTACAGTCCGAACACACTGTCGTTTTTGTTGCTCCCAAATAAATGGATTGAGATATAGTTGGTTAGGAGGGATTTAAGGAAGGATTTAGGATGTAATAAAGAAGGTGGTGACAGAAAGAACATCTAGGAAACTGTGAAAAGCTAACAACTTTGGAGACCACAGAATGGGAATGCAATTCCCTTCTGCCCTCAGAACCAAAGTAAGGAATAACAACACCACATATTGCCACCCCCTTTAATCATCTTCCGCACAAGAAAGCTAAAGTTTCAGGCCTTGTACTGGAGACTGGGAACACACATACACTCTCTCTGTTTAAAGTAAAAGAAAAAAGAAACAAAGGAGAATCCAGCATGATTTCCATCACTACCCCAACCAACTACTTCATTTCATCCCTTTTTCTAATCTCCCTCATTAAACCACTTTCTTCATCCTCTTCCCCAACGCCTCTTCCTCATAAACCAACAACCTCCCCCCATATCTTTCACTATTCTTAAACGATCATCCTTTGGCCTTCTCTCAACAACAATGCTGGGCCCTGCATTTCTATGGACATGAAACACCCTTCCAACACTTGACACACCGCCTAAGCATGGCCTTCGCCTGCTTCTTCAACACTCCCCAGACCATTGCCATTCTTGTGCCGCTGCTTTTGCTTCTTCTTGCTTTCACAATAACTCCGGTGTACCCATCTCATATTCCCGCCACCAACCAGACTTTCCATCCCCAACAGGAATTGAACAAGTTGAAGATGATAAGGGCTCATCTGGATAAGGTCAACAAGCCTGCAGTCCACACAATTCAGGTTACTAATAACTTAATACACTACTCTGTTTCACTTCCTCCTCTGTTCACTAAAAAAACAGGACGTTTTTATTTTGGGAATGCAGAGTCCTGACGGGGATCTCATTGATTGTGTTTTATCTCACCACCAACCAGCATTTGACCATCCAAACTTGAAGGCCCAAAAACCCTTGGTAACCGCTTACTTCCATTGCCACCCAAATTCAAGGTTCAACTGGTTCAGCCTTGAAAGGAAAGTGAATGTGAATGTAATGTTGTGTCTAAATTTGCAGGATCCACCAGAGAGACCAGAAGGACATAAGCCGCCTAGGACGGAGATAGGGAGCTTCCAATTATGGAGCATGAATGGGGAAACTTGCCCGGAAGGAACAGTTCCAATAAGAAGAACAACGGAGGAAGACATACTCAGAGCTACCTCTTTTCAGATGTTTGGAAGAAAAGTAAGAAGATGGGTTAGGAGAGAAACAAGCGGCGACGGGCATGAGGTACGATTCCCAACAAAATTAAAAGAATCCTCGTCAATTTCTTTATCTTTGAACATCAAACTCTCGTTCTTTCTCTGACAAATGTCCTTTGTTTTTTTTTTTTCAACTTTTGGTTCTTTTTCCAGCACGCTGTGGGGTATGTGACCGGCAATCACTACTTCGGTGCAAAAGCAAGCATCAACGTGTGGGCACCTCGAGTCGCCGATCAATATGAATTCAGCTTATCGCAAATGTGGGTCATCTCCGGCTCTTTTGGCGACGATCTCAACACCATCGAAGCCGGTTGGCAGGCATGTCTGTGTCTTAAGTCCTTAACTTCTCCCTCTATCTTACTTTTGTCTTCATCTCAGTTAGCTAAAGATTGGGCCGACAAAGCATGTGACTAAAGTGCCATACTATGCTCTTTTTCCATTTAAAGGATTGATACCGATGGTTTTGAAATTTTGGATCCGCAGGTTAGTCCAGAACTGTACGGAGACAATTACCCAAGATTCTTTACTTACTGGACGGTGAGATACCCAACAAAAGGCTAGGTTTTGTATTGCTTTCTTGTTCATTCATTTACGCAAAAAAAGAATTGTGGGGTTGAGATTTGACATTGAGATGAATTGCAACAGTCGGACGCATACCAAGCAACCGGATGTTACAATCTGCTATGCTCGGGGTTTGTCCAAACAAATAACAAAGTTGCCATTGGGGCCACAATATCTCCGACGTCTTCGTTGGATGGCGGTCAATTCGACATCAGCTTGATGGTTTGGAAGGTGGGATTGGACATAATGATGCTAAGGTAGTTGTCCCAATTTGGTAGGCGTTTGATTAACATTTTGGGGGGTGTAGGATCCGAAGCATGGAAACTGGTGGCTGGAATTGGGAGCGGGAGTACTGGTGGGATACTGGCCGTCCTTCTTATTCACGCATCTGCAACAGCATGCAACCATGGTGCAGTTCGGGGGAGAGGTGGTGAATTCAAGCCCCTCCGGATTCCACACCAGCACGGAGATGGGGAGTGGGCGTTTCGGCGGGGAGGGATTCGGAAAAGCTTCCTACTTCCGGAACCTGCAGGTGGTGGATTGGGACAACAGCTTGGTTCCATTGACAAACCTGATGGTATTGGCGGATCATCCGGAGTGCTACGATATTGAAGCAGGGATGAACACCGATTGGGGCAACTACTTTTACTACGGTGGACCTGGCCGAAACCAGAGGTGTACCTGACAGAAATGTTCCTGTTCTTTTTGTTATATCACATCCCCTTCTATTACAAGTATATAATTGTAAATTTTGGTTCACCATTTATACTATAATAGGAATATCAGCACTTTAGACATTGCAGTGTTATGTGTAGTAATGAAAGGTTAGATTATTATTAATAAATAAAGTACTGGAATTTGAAAAGATATATTATGTTTGTACCCAAGTTAAGATTATATAAACAAAACTAATTACACCCTCTTTCCCAACGGAAAACCCAACCCACTAATTTTACAGAGGAAGGAAGGAGTAATACATAAATAACAATAACAATAATAATAATGAGGAGGAGGTGGGTGTGCAGGGCACATAGATGAAACACGTGGAGGTGGAGCGGGCCCAACATCTCCGAAACGCCCTTCTCTGGGTGTGTTTTGATTGGCTCATATTAATATATTTTATTTGGTGGTATAAGAGGGCAGGAAAGGAGGGAGCAGGAGGAAAGGAGGGAGCAGGACAGGAGGGAGCAGGAAAGGAGGGAGCAGGACAGGAGGGAGCAGGACATTCCCCATATATTTGCTGCTTCTGCGGGGTCACTCACATTCGACCACATTTCCAGAAGAGTCTTCTTCCTGCCCCTCCTTTCTTTCCTTCTTTCCTTCTTTCTCTCTTCTTTCTTGGGTTGAAGAAGAAGGCTCTCCTCTATTCTGCTTTTTCCTTTTCGATTCAAATCAAGGGCATAACCATAATCATGATTACCCTCTGGATTCATGCTCTGCTTTTGACGGAGTTATTCTTGAGCTCTCTTGTCCATTTGGTGTATGCGTTCTACATTTTTAGCACAGCCGTGGCGGGGGATCTCTCCCAATTCCTCTTCTCCCCTTCCCCCAAAGTTGCCGTCCATCAGGGATTCCCTGCAACCACAATACCCAATCCCCACACTCTCCCTCCCATTGTCTTAGTCCATGGAATTTTTGGTTTTGGCCAAGGAGTAAGCCTTCATTCCTCTCTTTTCCTTTTCTGCGTTTCCCTTTCTTTTCTTTCTCCCTCATTGATTATGCCTCCCTTCCATTTCCGCAGAGATTGGGATCTTTATCCTACTTTGCGGGGGCCGAGAAGAAAGACGATAGGGTGCTTGTCCCTGATCTAGGATCCTTAACCAGCATTTATGATAGGTCACTCAATCTTCCACCCATTTCATTCCTTTTTCCCTTTCCGCTTCTCATTCCCAACCCTTTTCGTTGTCCTTTGTCAGGGCTCGCGAATTGTTCTATTATCTCAAAGGCGGACGAGTCGATTATGGGGAAGAACACAGCAACGCCTATGGCCACTCCCAATTTGGGCGACTTTATGAACCAGGTTTCATATCATATTTAACTCCCTTCTACAACCTACATTATTGCCTCAAAACAATTGCTTCTATAGCACTAGCAGCCCGGCAGCCCTTATCTTCTGATCCGAAATGGTATTTGCAGGACACTATCCTCAATGGGATGAAGACCATCCTATTCACTTTGTTGGCCATTCTGCCGGAGCGCAGGTCATTCGAGTACTCCAGCAAATGCTCGCCGACAAGGTTAGGGAAATATAGAGTTTAATGGTTGTCGATAATAACACGTCTCTGAAACCTACTTATTGGTTCAGGCATTCAAGGGGTATGAGAATACCAATGCAAACTGGGTAATAAGCATGACGTCCTTATCAGGAGTATTCAATGGGACTACCAGGACCTACTTGGATGGGATGCAGTAAGTTCCTTGACCACTTTCATCTTTTCCACCAACATAACTTCTACTTCATTTTTTTTTATCAACTGTCATATGTTTTTGAAGCTTGTGGCCCAAAAAAGTTTCCTGTCTGTCGCTATTGTGGCCCAAAAATGTGTTTCGACTGTTTAGAATAGTCACAGATTAGCACCTGACGTAATATTTTGATGTTGTTAACAGCCAATATGATCAAACTAATCCAATAAACCATTTTAGCCCCTTTCATGTCAACTTGTTCCAGGCCGGAAGATGGGAGATCAATGAAGTCTATATCCCTGCTGCAGTTCTGCCGCCTGGGCGTTATAGTATATGATTGGATTGACATTCCCTGGTTGAGAGCATATTATAACTTTGGGTTTGATCATTTCAACATGTCGTGGAAGAAAATGGGTATTTGGGGTCTTCTTCATTGCCTCATGGGAAATTCGGGTCCGTTTGCGTCTGGAGACTGGATCCTCCCTGATCTTACCATACAGGGCTCCATCCATCTCAACAACCAATTACAGACCTTTCCTAATACATACTATTTTAACTATGTAACCAAATGTACTAGGAAGATCTTAGGGATCACGATTCCATCAAGCATATTTAGAATCCATCCCTTGTTTTTTATTAGAGTTCTGCAGATGAGCCAATGGCGCCACCCTTCCGATGTCGCGCCACCTTACAAAGACTACAGGTGTGTGAACAAATAAGTAGCATGAAAACCCCTTCAACTTTCGTTTTGATTTATGAAAGAGATCATGCATCAGGGCAGCAGAATATAATGGTAGTGGTGCTTGTGCAGAGATGAAGATTGGCAAGACAACGATGGTGCGCTTAACACCATATCCATGACTCACCCACGTTTTCCAGTTGAGCATCCAAGTCGTCATGTTGTAAACGATTCAGATTGTAAACCCCTCGAACCTGGCATCTGGTAAGTTGAAACATCTCAAATTCCTTACCATTTTCCGTATCTTTATTTGAAACCCAGTTGACAGTCTGGGATGTAGATGTTTAAAGAGGTTTGTATCAAATCATATACACTTTGTCTTGAAATGCATTCCCGGTCATCTAGAACTTAAGAAGAGACATATTATCATATGCTGCCATCTTCTACTACTGCCAGAAGACGCATTCGAAGTGTTACTCTTTTTTGCGTGGAAATTTGAACACTCGGGTTGAATCTTAATGTCAGGTTTGATTGAAACTGCAGGTACTACAAGATCATTGAAGGTGATCACATAATGTTCATAGTGAATCGGGAGAGAGCAGGAGTTCAATTTGATCTCATATATGATGGCATTTTTGAACGTTGTAGAAAACATGTGTTCAGGAAGAACCCTCCAACCTTGCCCAACGAAGCTCACGCATAGGCGCTCTTACTGGTGATCGCAATAGCACTACAGAGTCTACAGCTAGGGAATTCCAACAAAAACTCATTTGCCTCTTCCTGTAGTTAACCCCCCCTTCTTTTTCCCCTTTCATGTAAATAAAAATTTGTTTTCCTCATTTTCCTTCCCTGGGCCCATCAATTTGCAGTACCAGCCTGAGCTTCTCAAGAGCTCAAAAAAAAAAAAAAAAAAAAAAAAAAAAAAAAAAAAAAAAAAAAAAAAAAAAAAAAAGAAACAGAAT